GATCCTTCATAGATAGCCGGGACGGCCATTGTAATCATATTGTCAGGACAGCTCAGAGGTAAGGTCAATGTAATCACATAGTCAGGACAGCTCAAAGGTAAGGTCAATGTAATCACATCACCAGAACAGCTCAAAGGTAAGGTCAATATAATCACATCATCAGGAGAGCTCAAAGGTAAGGTCAATGTAATCACATCATCAGGAGATCTCAAAGGAAAGATCAATGTAATCACATCGTCATGAAAGCTCAAAGGTAAGGTCAATGTAATTAAATCATCAAGACAGTTAAAAGGTAAGGTCAATGTAATCACATCACCAGGACAGCTCAAATTAAGGTCCATGTCATCAGATCACCAGGACAGCTCAAAGGTAAGGTCAATGTAATTGCATTGTCAGGACAGCTCAAAGGTAAGGTCACTGCAATCACATATATATATGTCATGAAAGCTAAGAGGTAAGGTCAATGTAATCACATTGTCAGGACAGCTCAAAGATAAGATCAATGTAATCACATTGAAAGGACAGCTAAAAGGTATGGTCACTGTAATCAAATTGTCAGAACTGTCACTGTAATCACAACAACAGGACAGCTCATAGTTAAGTCAAATTTATCACATTGTTAAGACAGCTCAAATGTAAGTCTGATGTAATCACCTCACCAGGACAGCTCAAAGGTAACGTCAATGTAATTACCTGACCAGGACAGCTCAATGGTAATTTCGATGTAATCACCTGACCAGGCCAGCTCAAAGGTAAGGTCAATGTAGTTACATGATCAGGACAGCTCAAAGGTAAGGTCAATGTAGTTACATCATCAGGACAGATCAATGGTAAGGTCAATGTAATCACATCATCAGGGCAGCTCAAAGGTAAGGTCAATGTAATCACATCACCAGAACAGCTCAAAGGTAAGGTCAATGTAATCACATCACCAGAACAGCTCAAAGGTAAGGTCAATGTAGTTACATCATCAGGACAGCTCAAAGGTAAGGTCAATGTAATCACATTGACAGGACAGCTCAAAGTAAGGTCAATGTAATCACATCATCAGGACAGATCAAAGGTAAGGTCAATGTAATCACATAGTCAGGACAGCTCAAAGGTAAGGTCAATGTAATCACATAGTCAGGACAGCTCAAAGGTAAGGTCAATGTAATCACATCATCAGGACAGCTCAAGGTAAGGTCAATGTAATCACATTGACAGGACAGCTCAAAGGTAAGGTCAATGTAATCACATCATCAGGACATATCAAAGGTAAGGTCAATGTAATCACATAGTCAGGACAGCTCAAAGGTAAGGTCAATGTAATCACATAGTCAGGACAGCTCAAAGGTAAGGTCAATGTAATCACATCATCAGGACAGCTCAAAGGTAAGGTCAATGTAATCACATTGACAGGACAGCTCAAAGGTAAGGTCAATGTAATCACATCATCAGGACAGCTCAAAGGTAAGGTCAATGTAATCACATCACCAGAACAGCTCAAAGGTAAGGTCAATGTAATCACATCACCAGAACAGCTCAAAGGTAAGGTCAATGTAGTTACATCATCAGGACAGCTCAAAGGTAAGGTCAATGTAATCACATTGACAGGACAGCTCAAAGTAAGGTCAATGTAATCACATCATCAGGACAGATCAAAGGTAAGGTCAATGTAATCACATAGTCAGGACAGCTCAAAGGTAAGGTCAATGTAATCACATAGTCAGGACAGCTCAAAGGTAAGGTCAATGTAATCACATCATCAGGACAGCTCAAAGGTAAGGTCAATGTAATCACATTGACAGGACAGCTCAAAGGTAAGGTCAATGTAATCACATCATCAGGACATATCAAAGGTAAGGTCAATGTAATCACATAGTCAGGACAGCTCAAGGTAAGGTCAATGTAATCACATAGTCAGGACAGCTCAAAGGTAAGGTCAATGTAATCACATCATCAGGACAGCTCAAAGGTAAGGTCAATGTAATCACATTGACAGGACAGCTCAAAGGTAAGGTCAATGTAATCACATCATCAGGACAGCTCAAAGGTAAGGTCAATGTAATCACATCACCAGGACAGCTCAAAGGTAAGGTCAATGTAATCACATCATCAGGACAACTCAAAGGTAAGGTCAATGTAATCACATTGACAGGACAGCTCAAAGGTAAGGTCAATGTAATCACATTGACAGGACAGCTCAAAGGTAAGGTCAATGTAATCACATCACCAGGACAGCTCAATGGCAAGGTCAGTGTAATCACATCGTCATCAAGATCAAAGGTAAGCCACTGGAATCGCATACATGTACTAATATTTTGAGGACTGGCAAAAGTTAAAGCAGTTATCACCTTCTCAGGACACAATGCTTGTTTTAAAAACTTTGTTAGGAATAAATCTTTAATAAAATGAAAATGAACCTGGGAAAAACATTGTTCTAAATATAATTTTCAGAACCGAGTATAATTTGTCCCCAACATACGAACAACTTTTATGTATTAACTATTTTTCAGAATGGGTCTGCAGCCGGATTACACGGCTCAGAACCTCGGCTTCCGATGTGTCCGCAGTGCCAAAGCCTACTGGGATCTCCATGGTCACAAGAACTTACGGAGACCATACATTGGGGACAACAAACCAGACCCCAGGAGGAGGCGCCCACCCAGGCACCACCGGAAAGATGAACTGTAAGGCCTGCCACATGGGGGAATGTTAACTATAGAGAGGGCTCTTCAAGACCTACTGTGAAAGACTCTAGTCACAAAATAGTGGACAGTCACGTCACAAGAAATACAAACTGATCACAGGAACAGCTGGACGAAAAGTAAAGAAATCTTCATCAAATTTTAGCTCAATTTTTAAAGAAGTCTTTATAATAAAACATTTACAATGTTTCAGTTTTATCATTGATACACATTTTAAAAGAATTATCAAGAATTATCAGCAACGATATTTGTTTGACCTGAATACATATTGAATACCTATGTAATGTATAATCCCTGTAAAACCCATTGGAAAAGAGAGTTTTACATTAACATCAGATGTTCCAAAACTTTGTCTACTAAACATGGTAATTCATGACAAAACAGCAGTTGACATAAAAATATAATTTATTTTCTTAATAATGATAATGAGACATGAAATCCTCTTACAGTGTTTATCACTCAGTTCTTCATGTATACTAAATGCATGGTTCACAAGGCACCAAAATGGCTCCAACACACAAGCTAACGAGAGAGTCAAATGGCCGTGACAGATACAGCCTGACCACATAACGGCTGACTCCTACACACAACCAGATAAAAAGCTGCGAGTTTATAGACTAATTCTAGACTAGACACTATTTATAATGGACAAACAGGACGGATAGCTACAGATAAACACACAGACAGTCTTAAATATCACTGCTGTACACCTTCAATGTAAAACGTCTTAATCTGCTTTTCACTCAGGATAAAATAAAGTCTAAATAATAAATCTGTTTACAAATTTCTAAGAGAGAGTTAAACTCTTGAAAAAAAAGGTGTTTATAACAATTAAATATCAATCTCTACTCAATGATAAATTATATGTCCCTTTCCTTACAAATGCAAGAAAAAGAACAAAAATTTTCCTTTTTTTCTAATCACTTAAGAATCTACATCATAAAGATACTACAATATAAAACCTACTCTAAGTGTAAAATTATTGGACAACATTCAAATTAAACTGTACATGTGTTCTTTGTTTTAAACAGGTGTTTTACGAAAAGCTAATTCATAGGTAAAATACTGAAAACCTACAATTATTTTTGAAATTGAACAGATCAAATAATAAATTGTGGAATATTTGCATGTTTGATTATACTTTACATTAAAAAAAAAACTTAGTAACAGAAGTCGAAAATATAAAGTAGGACATTGTTTAACCTTCAAATCTCAATAAACCCTTACACAAGTATTGTAAAATTCTCTGGACAATAATTCCCCCTTCACTCTCTTATCTTCTCAAAAGGTACTGCACGTTAGAAGTTATTTTTCTTTGAAAACGAAACAAAATACTTCACAAAGAAAAACATTGTGCAATATAAACTACCACGTTTAAGCAATAAGCATTTCACCAGTTTCAAAATATTTTGAGTAATTTTGTTGAAGAACTAAAACCAATTTACCAGTAAAAAGATTTCTGAACTTTTACATGTATAAAAGAAAAGGAAGAACTATAATAATTTATTCCTAGACTTGTTCCACATTGCTTAATTCTGATTGTGCTACAGTCTATAACTGAGGAGAAAAACAAAATAGCTTCAATGAAGTCAAAAAATATATTTGTTAATTATGTAAAACATTCTTGAAAAAAATTGTAGAATTTGGACGGACTATATGATCTGTTGAGACAACCACATAAAAAGAAGAAAGGAATGTACATATTAATATTACAACTTGCATCTTTATCTAAAAGAAATCAGTTAACAACTGAAAAAATTTAAAATTAAAAAAAATCTAAAAAGTATCAAGCACAGGTATACTATATATCAGATATCCAATTGAAAATATCAACAATTAAAATCAAATAAATGCATAATTTAACCAGAAGTCTCTGTCGAGACTGTAGCTCTACTGGTTTGTACTTATCAAAAACCATTGCACTATTTTATGTATCTTTGTGTAGTCTACTTGTGTGCCAACTTATTTTGAAATCAGATAAAAACTGTAGAAGGAGTGGCGTTTTTAAAGAATTCCACAGAAAATTCTATTTTGAGTAACCATAGCAATACCGTTCATTGAAATCAAAAACCGATGCACTATTCTATGTATCTTAGTGTAGTCTACTTGTGTGCCACAGTATATTGAAATCAGACCAAAACTGTAGAAGGAGTAGCATTTTAAAGGAATTTCACAGAAAATTCTATTTTTAGTAACCATGGCAACACCGTTCATCTAAATCAAAAAACGATGCCCTATTCTATGTATCTTAGTGTAGTCTACTTGTGTACCAAGTTATACTGAAATCAGACAAAAACCGTAGAAGGAGTAGCGTTTTTAAGGAATTTTACAGAAAATTCTATTTTTAGTAACCATGGCAACACCTTTTATCGAAATCAAAAACCGATGCACAATTCTATGTACCTTAGTGTAGTCTACTTGTCTGCCAAGTTATATTGAAATCAGACAAAAACTGTAGAAGGAGTAGCGTTTTTAAGGAATTTCACAGAAAATTCTATTTTTAGTAACCATGGCAACACCATTCATCGAAATCAAAAACCGATGCACTATTCTATGTATCTTAGTGTAGTCTACTTGTGTGCCAAGTTATATTGAAATCAGACCAAAACTGTAGAAGGAGTAGTGTTTTAAAGGAATTTCACAGAAAATTCTATTTTGAGTAACCATGGCAACACCGTTCATCGAAATAAAAAACCCATGCACTATTCTATGTATCTTAGTGTAGTCTACTTGTGTGCCAAGTTATATTGAAATCAGACAAAAACTGTAGAAGGAGTAGCGTTTTTAAGGAATTTCACAGAAAATTCTATTTTTAGTAACCATGGCAACACCGTTCATCGAAATGAAAAACCGATGCACTATTCTATGTATCTTAGTGTAGTCTACTTGTGTGCCAAGTTATATTGAAATCAGACCAAAACTGTAGAAGGAGTAGCGTTTTAAAGGAATTTCACAGAAAATTCTATTTTTAGTAACCATGGCAACACCGTTCATCAAAATTAAAAATCAATGCACTATTCTATGTATCTTAGTGTAGTCTACTTGTGTGCCAAGTTATATTGAAATCAGACCAAAACTGTAGAAGGAGTAGCGTTTTTAAGGAATTTCACAGAAAATTCTATTTTTAGTAACCATGGCAACACCGTTCATTGAAATCAAAAACCGATGTACTATTCTATGTATCTTAGTGTAGTCTACTTGTGTACCAAGTTATACTGAAATCAAACTAAAATTGTAGGAGGAGTAGCGTTTTGAAAAATTGTTTACAGACGGACAGACAGACAGACGGACGGACGCCGGACGCATTACTATCGCATAAGCTCTTCTGGTCTCTGACCAGTAGAGCTAAAAATGAAAAAAAAAGTAGAACCAGAAGTCTCTGTCGAGACTGAAGATCCAATAAATAGAATAATGATCATTGATTAAATCTCTTTATGTTCTTAGTGCAGTCTACTTGCATGCCACATTTATATTATAATCAAACTAAAATTGTATTTGGAGTAGCATTTTGAAAGAATTTCACAGAAATTTCTATTTTTAGTAACCACGACAACACCGTTCATCGAAATCAAAAACCGATACACAGAATTATGTATCTTAGTGTAGTCTACTTGTGTGCCAAGTTATATTGAAATCAGACCAAAACTGTAGGAGGAGTATCATTTTGAAAGAATTTCACAGAAATTTCTATTTTTAGTAACCACGGCAACCCCTTTTATCAAAATCAAAAACCGATACACAGAATTATGTATCTTAGTGTAGTCTACTTTTGTGCCAAGTTATATTGAAATCAGACTAAAACTGTAGGAGGAGTAGCATTTTGAATGAATTTCACAGAAATTTCTATTTTTAATAACCACTGCAACACCGTTCAACGAAATCAAAAACCGATACACAGAATTATGTATCTTAGTGTAGTCTACTTGTGTGCCAAGTTATATTAAAATCAGACTAAAACTGTAGGAGGAGTAGCATTTTGAAAGAATTTCACAGAAATTTCTATTTTTAGTAACCACGGCAACACCGTTCATCGAAATCAAAAACCAATAAACAGAATTGTGTATCTTAGTGTAGTCTACTTGTGTGCCAAGTTATATTGAAATCAGACTAAAACTGTAGGAGGAGTAGCATTTTGAAAGAATTTCACAGAAATTTCTATTTTTAGTAACCACGGCAACACCGTTCATAGAAATCAAAAACCGATACACAGAATTACCCGGTATATATCTTAGTGTAGTCTACTTGTGTGCCAATTTATACTGAAACCAGACTAAAACTGTAGGAGGAGTAGCATTTTGAAAGAATTTCACAGAAATTTCTATTTTTAGTAACCACGGCAACACCGTTCAACGAAATCAAAAACCGATACACAGAATTGTGTATCTTAGTGTAGTCTACTTGTGTGCCAAGTTATACTGAAATCAGACTAAAACTGTAGGAGGAGTAGCATTTTGAACGAATTTCACAGAAATTTTTATTTTTAGTAACCACGGCAACACCGTTCATAGAAATCAAAAACCGATACACAGAATTATGTATCTTAGTATAGTCTACTTGTGTGCCAAGTAATATTGAAATCAGACCAAAACTGTAGGAGGAGTAGCATTTTGAAAAATTGTTTACAGACAGACAGACAGACAGACAGACGGACAGACGGACGGACGCCGGACGCATTACTATCGCATAAGCTCTTCTGGTCTCTGACCAGTAGAGCTAAAAAAAAAGGAGGAAAAAAATCTAATCAACTATACTAAAACAGTAAAAGTAAATTGAAAGTTTAATTATTCAATAAATATAAATAATTTATCACATTCTTGATCACAATTAAGTTTTAAAAATAAATAAGTACATGTTTTATTTATTCAACTGCATATTAAATGTAAAAGGAATGGCACAAACTGCCCATTCAAAAACCTCACCAGGTGGTGAATAAAGCATTGTTTGGCATGGAATGTATCAAGTCATGTGATATGTTTATGGTTAAAACAATGGCTTTTGATTGGTCAACACAGATGATAAGTTGATATGTACGTCAGGTATCGAACTCCCTGCTATAAGATTCCTCACTTCCAGTCTCCCCGCGATATAAATCCACCGCGTGGCTGTGCGGCTCGAAGCTTCGACTGAGGTAGTTACTGATCACCAGATTAGAAGATTGCGTATTGCGGTAACCCAGATAGGGATCGATGTAATGATCCTGCTCGTTGACCCAGCTCGAGTCCACACTGTTCCCGATCCCACTCGTTCCTCCTGTTAAGCTGTGAGGGCGGCTGTCTGGACTGAGCCGCGACAACTGGAATAAAAATAGAAACATGAAATCCAACCTCCACCACTGAAATAAAATAAAAACGTGAGATCTGGCCCAAAAACAACTTAATCTAGGGTCACTCCAAATCATATACTGAGAATCGCTGGACATATTTCAGTCTGTTGATACACAACTATCATAAGATAGTATAATAAAAAAATTTACTAATTAAGCAATGTTTTGAACATCCTATAAATTTAATCATTTTGCAAATTCATAATTTACACACACACAAACTCTTGAGTAATCTGGTCCCCGTAAACTTACGTGAACATCTCTGTCCTTGCCGGTGAGTTTGTATTCCTTGACGAGTTTATCTAAGCCCTGCTTCTGTTTGGTGATGGAGTCGATACGATCCTGTAATCTGGAATTCTCCTCCTCCAGGAATTTGGTGCGGACCTGTAACATGGAGACCATACGAGTCTTCTCGCGGACGGCCTCCTCCATATCCGACAGCCTGTAAGAGATTTGATTGGCTGAAAAAGGTCACCATAGCAACAGTCAGGAACAGCAGGAAGACATGTCGATGAAATATGTGGACAAGGATAGATGGTTTGCTAATTTTTGTGAATTTGAAATGAAGTAATTAAGCCTTTTGTCATTATAAAATCAACTTTACCTTAAGCATATGTAATTATACTGTCTAGAATAATATTTTGCTGTCATACAATCTACTCTTAGACTAACAATATTGTGCACTGCCAATATGTATGCCCTATAGAGAAGCAAGCAATTTTTTCAAGGATCAAAGAAAATCTTGGGACAACAAGGAAGCATTTCAACTTAAAATGAAAGTAAAACTAGCTATATTTATAAACAAACACGAAAATAATATATATAAGAAATACAAACATTACTGCACTTAGTTATCATTCAGTAAACACCCATTGAAAACATTTAACCCATCCAGAGACACTGGAAATCATTGAAATGCTGAGACATTTTTCAAGTTGATATCCACAATTAAAGTAACAATAAAAATGAAAGAAAAAGTGAGCTAGCTCACATACCCCATGCTCCCCCAAAACTTGACGGTGAAACACATAATGAAAGGCACAGCTAGTGCACTTTAAATACATAATAATTGCAAAAAATCTTCACATCAAAATGTCTTGCATATGAGGACATTTAAATGTGGAATGAAGTTTCTAGATAAATACAATGTAATGGAATCGAAATTTCTTGGCATTATACAAATCCAAACATTAATTTGAAGTGGTTGGGGGGGGGGGGGGGGGGGGTTGAGAAATTTTCTTGAATGATAGGCAAAACTCTTTGGGATAAAATAATGGAATATGTCCTAAATATCTGCATAGGATGATGAAACTATGTACAACAGTTTAAGAGGAGTGGTGCTGACAAACTGTTCATCTGTATATTCAAAATATTCAAAAAAAAGTCTAAGTTGGAAAGTGTGGAAATTCCCCGAATAATAAAGGAATCGGAATTTCCTGGTAATATGCACATCTACATATTGTGTCCTAAATATCTGCAAAGTTTAACGAAATTCTGTGCAGTGGTTTATGAGGAGTTGCGCTGACAAACTGTTCATCTCTATATAAAAGGTATGGCAAAAATCCTAAGTTTTTAGTGCGGAAAGTCCCGGAAAAAATAAAGGAATCGGAATTTCCTGGTAATATGCACATCTACATATTGTGTCCTAAATATCTGCAAAGTTTAACAAAATTCTGTGCAGTGGTTTATGAGGAGTTGCGCTGACAAACTGTTCATCTCTATATTCAAGGTATGGCCAAAAACCTAACTATTTAGTGTGGAAAGTCCCGGAAAAATAATGGAAGCGGAATTTCCTGGAAATATGCACATCTACATATTGTATCCTAAACATCTGCAAAGTTTGACAAAATTCTGTGCAGCGGTTTATGAAGAGTTGCGCTGAAAAACTGTTCATCTCTATATTAAAGGTATGGCCAAATGCCTGAGTTAAAAAGTGCGGAAATTCCCGGAAAAAATAATGGAATCGGAATTTCCTGGTAATATGCACATCTACACATTGTGTCCTAAATATCTGCAAAGTTTGACAAAATTCTGTGCAGCGGTTTATGAGGAGTTGCGCTGACAAACTGTTCATCTCTATATTCAAGGTATGGCCAAATGCCTAAGTTAAAAAGTGTGGAAATTCCCGGAAAAAATAATGGAATCAGAATTTCCTGGTAATATGCACATCTACACATTGTGTCCTAAATACCTGCAAAGTTTGAAGAAATTCTATGCAGCGGTTTATGAGGAGTTGCGCTGACAAAAAAAGAGGACTGACTGACGGACTGACTGACTGACTGACGGACGGGTCAAAAACATTATACCTCCCGCAACTAGTTGCGTGGGGTATAAAAACTCCATATAAACCCAGTTACTTTAACAAGTCGGAAAATCATGAAATGCTTAAACATGTATACATATGCCCCATGATAAGCTGTTAATGGAGATTATAGGCATATAGGTTAAAACATTTAACTAATACAGAAGTTGTTCAATGAAGTTAAATTATCTTGTAATATTTTTAAAAAACACGATGAATGTGTTAAAAACAAATTATAAGAAAACATACAACTGTAAATTAACTGTACAATAGTAAAGCCACCAGAGATAAATGAACATAGTGAGAACAAGAGGCCCAGGGGCCACAGCGCTCACCTGAGCACATCAGCTAGGAAAAAACACATATCAGATCAGAACTGAAAGTTAACTTAAGTTAGGGGGAGGGCTTGAATTTTAACCCCCAAGGGGATCATAATTTGAACGAACTAGAATCTACATTACCTGAGGATGATTCCATACAAATATAACTAATCCTGGCTTTGAAGTACTTGAAAAGAAGATTTAAAAAGGTTTCCCTATATATTTCTATGTAAAACTTTGGTCGGCCATTTTGGCCACGCCCTACCCCCAGGGGTCATGACTTGAACAAATTTAAATCTACATTACCTGAGGATGATTCCACATGAGTTTCATCTTTCCTGGCCCAGTGGTTCTTGAGAAGAAGATTTTTATAGATTTTTCCTAAATATTCCTATGTAAAACTTTGATCGGCCATTTTGGCCCCGCCCTACCCCCGGGGGTCATGACTTGAACAAATTTATATCTACATTACCTGAGGATGATTCCATATGAGTTACATCTTTCCTGGCCCAGTGGTTCTTGAGAAGAAGATTTTTAAAGATTTTTCCTATATATTCCTATGTAAAACTTTGATCGGCCATTTTGGCCCCACCCTATCCCCGGGGGTCATGACTTGAACAAATTTGAATCTACACTACCTGAGGATGATTCCACATGAGTTTCATCTTTCCTGTTCCAGTGGTTCTTGAGAAGAAGATTTTTTAAAAATGCCAATAATTTTTCTCTAATTCATGATTATCTCCCCTTGGAAAAGGGCGTGGCCCTTCATTTGAACAAACTTAATCCCCTTCGCCCAAGGATACTTTGTGCCAAGTTTGGTTGAAATTGGCCCAGTGGTTCTTGAGGAGAAGATGAAAATGTGAAAAGTTTACGACAACGACAACGACGCCAACGACAACAGACAACGGACAAATTTTGATCAGAAAAGCTCACTTGAGCCTTCGGCTCAGGTGAGCTAATAATGTGTACCAAAAACATAACGATCATACAATGCCATGTGGATGTTGACAACTTATATTACACATGTGTAAACAAAAAGGGATTTATGGGGAAATTCTTACAAAATTAAGAAGAACAGCAAATTAGCTAGAGATTTACAATGGGGATAAAATGTCAACAAATGATGAAATGATAATAACCTCAAAACCTGATCTAATGACCTGGAAATATTACTGCACTTGATACATGTTAGATAGAAAAAGAAGCCTTAAAATCTGAAGGAAAACCTATCATTTCAATTGAACTTTTTTCTCTCTCCCCCCCCACCACTCACACACACATTTAGAAGTAAATGGAATTCATATTAATAAAAAAAAAATTGTCAAAATCCTTTTTTCTTCATGATTTTCAAATCAACCATACTAACTGAAAGCTTACTAGAAAAATTATTACAATTTCACTTCAAGCATAATTTTTTTTTTTTGCATACTGTGTACAGGGTTATTTTCCCCTTATGTAATTACTCTGTTTACAGTCTGCTAATAATTAAAACCTACTGAGTTAGGTATTCCCGTTTTTCTCAATTCACAGTCTGGTAATTATTAAGACCTACTGAGTGAGATATTTCCGTTTTCTCGGTTCACGGTCTGGTAATTATTAAGACTTACTGAGTGAGATATTCCCGTTTTTCTCGGTTCACGGTCTGGTAATTATTAAGACTTACTGAGTGAGATATTCCCGTTTTTCTCGGTTCACGGTCTGGTAATTATTAAGACTTACTGAGTGAGATATTCCCGTTTTCCTAGGTTCACGGTCTGGTAATTATTAAGACTTACTGAGTGAGATATTCCCGTTTTTCTCGGTTAGTGGTCTGGTAATTATTAAGACTTACTAAGTGAGATATTCCCGTTTTTCTCGGTTCACGGTCTGGTAATCATTAAGACTTACTGAGTGAGATATTCCCGTTTTTCTCGGTTCACGGTCTGGTAATTATTCTCCATTATTTACTTACTGAGTGAGATATTCCCGCTTTTCTCGGTTCACGGTCTGGTAATTATTAAGACATACTGAGTGAGATATTCCTGTTTTTCTCGATTCACGGTCTGGTAATTATTAAGACTTACTGAGTGAGATATTCCTGTTTTTCTCGGTTCATGGTCTGGTAATTATTAAGACTTACTGAGTGAGATATTCCCGTTTTTCTCGATTCACGGTCTGGTAATTCTTCTCCATCTTTTCTTTCCAGTCCATCTCTTTCCTGAGCGTTGAGCGAGTCAGTCTTAGGTCGTCGTCGTACTGTCTCAGTTGTTCCTGCATCCGAGTCCGCTCCTTGGAATAAAACTCTCTGTTAAATAAATAAAATCGTTATAAATAACAATTATAATTATAAAAAATTTAAACTTTGAAAAGTAACACTTTCAAACAAGTTTTTTTTTTTTTTTTTTTTATTTCTCTTACTATAGGTTTTGTACAGAAAAGTATGTGCCACCGTTATACAGGATTAAAATTATTACAACATGTCAATGAAGTAGTTAATATTTTGCTTTTTTAATGAATTTTTATTCAAATTAGGAATGATGGTGGAAATGACATAATCTTTTTTCAATATAAATGAACTATTCAATGATTGTAATTCAAAAAAAAAAAAGAAAATTCAGCATACAAGGATTTAAAAAACAACACAATGGACATAAATTATTTGTGAATAATAGGAACCTTTGTAGAATTCATGATGTTAAGCAAAAAAAAAAAAAAAAAAAAAACAAAACAAAGAGATTTTGGCATAAACCAAAAGTGAACACTGTTTCCAGAGATGCTGCGTGCACACAAGGTGTATATGCGAAGCTTTAATTGT